CGATCGCCAAATCGTCCCGGGACGATCAGACCAAAATACGGTGCGTTTGACGACGTCCCAGAACTATTTTCAGGGCGATATTTTGAACAGTACAGATTCGTCCTGGAGGATCTCAATATCGTCGCCGGACTGATCCTGGGAGGAAAATCCAAGCTAGAGAGGAACAGTAAGGGAACGAGGTCTCACAAGCCCCGATAGCTAAAAAACGACGACGGAAGCAACTCGAATTGTTTTTCCCTCTTCAAATATCTTCTATTTTCTCCTTGCTCGACTATGATGCTGATCAAATGAATGAAATAAGTGTTTTAAAATATATTTTAAAATGCTCAAAATGTCCTAGCATTGGTACTCAATCCAAGCACGCAGCGCTAGTTCAAAATCTCATTTCTCGAGACTATAGGTGTTACAAATATCACTATTGGCACTTTGGTTGAGTACTAACACCGAGGCACTCTAACAACCAATGCAGAGGCACTCCAAAATACATCCTACCTCGAGCCCGAATAATTTTTGAGTTGGCGATGCTAAATGACTCGAAGTGACCTAAAACAAACTTTCGAAAAATTCCTCTTCTCTCTTCTCTAGATTGCTACCTTGATTGGGTGGAAGTGAGTGGAATAGTAAAAAAAAGATATTTTTCATATAAAATCAGATCGAAGCTCTGAGGTGCCCAATCAAGCTTGCCATAGCACTTCCTCTAAGAGCCACAACACCATAGTGCCACCCTCAGCACCGTCACATTGAATTAATTTACAAAAAGGCAAAGAGGAGTTTAGCATCGCACAAGACCACTATGCCGCGATGCTCCTAGGCGAAGAAGATTTTCTAACTTCCCCCCCCCGCGTTTCAGAACATATGCAGACTTTCAAATGCATACCAAACATTCCCAGACACATGTAGAAGGGTTTAAATGCAAAAATTCAGTGAATTGCTTTGTTTTGGACCTGGTTCGAATAGGTGGAATAGTGCACTGATCTATAGATATTACATAGTCAACCTTTTTCAATGGGTAGTCATTCAATTCTATAAGATAAGCATGTGTTCCTTAAAATAATTCCCTCTTATCTAGGATGTTATACAATCATCTATCATTACCCTATTCTTTTTTATAGCCTTATCGATTACAGAGCTTTCATTCCATGATAGCTTTCTTGAGCTATGAATTTGGACTTTTCTTTTGATTTGTACTTGCCTAATATTCTAGAATATAAATTCCATCATCTTTGAAGTTATCTTCCTAATTTTCATTCTATTGAGTGTCCACATGTCAAATTACATTTCTAAAACTAAACACAAGGATTCCTTTGGGTTGAAGATTTTGATTATTTTGATCAAAATCTTATAACTATGTCTCCCCAAATCCAAAGTGTTTGCCCACATCTTCTCCATAACATAAATCCATCCACCCCACATCATGAGCCCTAGTATGCCTTAGGGTTCTTCCATCCTCATCTACAACAAGGATTGCATGTTTGACTATAGTGCTCATAAACTTTGACTCATTTCTTTATTTTGAGTTCTTTTTTTCTCATTTGAATAAATCAATCAATCATCAGTCATTAAACATAAGTAGAACACACACAATTTTTTAATCAAGAGTTTTCTTAAGCACCATCCAAGATATATTTAACCTTTAAAATGATGTTGTTTTAGGAAACTTTGTCACCAAGAAATTCAAATTCAAATAATGGGAATATCTATGTGGATTCAATGTTTGGCTAACTTTTGATTGATATCATGAGTTTGTAGAGTGGATTAATTTATGACTAGTCATCTATAGTAATTCATTGATATCATTCATAGTGAATAATCCTCCTATTTCAAATATACTTTTCTATATTTTCCCAAAAAAAAAAAAAATACACCATAAAAATAAAGGGGGTGATACAAAACATCATGTGAATTAAAAAAAAATTAAGTTAAAACTCAAATTATAAGAATGAAGGCTAAAGCTCAAAGATTGAACAAAGAAAAGGTCAAATTAGAAGTGCCTAATAAATGGAAAATTTTTAGAACATTTTAAATGTAATTTATTTTTTTATATTTGATTTTTCTCTATCTTGGGATATGTTTGACTAGCCTTGGAATATTTTGGAATAAATAAAGCATTAAAAAATAAGTGATTAGAACTTATTCTTCATGAATTGTCACCACCACTCCAAATTGAAGGGAAGAAAGGGAGTGGAAACTAATGGAGGAGTAGTTCCAACAATTTATTTTATAATTTTCATCTATTCCAAAATATTCTATAGTCGGTCAAAGCTGTCCTTAGGTGAAAAAAAAAATTAAAATTCTATTTTAAATATTATAAAAAATTTTACTTTTGTTTCAGAGGCTTTTTTGTGTATATCTTTCTTAAGTTTGAATTTTAGCTCTTGTAATTAGACTTCTAATTTAATTTTTTTGGACCACATGATGTACTTCATCAGGGCTCATTCAATTGTTCGAAAATAGAAAATATGTTTTAAGGAAAGAAAGAATTTATTTTTATTTATTTTATGTGAAAATGAATATATCATTTATTGTGAGATTTGAAAATCTTTCAAGAGATTTAAATTAATATTTATATGTAATCATAGTCAATCAAAATTAAGAGAAGCATAATACTAAGTTAAGAGTGACAGAGATGAGAATGCTCACATGGATGAGTGGCTTTACCATTAGAGATAGGATACGAAATAAGCATATACGTGAAAAGGTTGGAGTAGCTCCAGTAGAAGATAAGATTAGAGAGAGTAGCCTTAGATGGTTTGGTCACATAAAACGGCGGCCTTCCGATGACCCGGTTAGGAAAGTAGAGGTATTAGATTTGACTTATGTTAAGAAAGGTAGATGCATACCAAAAAAGATTTGATTAGAAAATATTAGAAATGATCTTTTGTTAGTAGATTTAAACGAGAATTTGACTTCACAATGGCGAAAAAGGATTCATGTAGCCGACGCCACGTAGTGGGATAAAGAGTTGATATTTATGTTGTTGTTGTTGTATATAGTCAATCAAATGATTAAATTAATATATTCATTTTTTCTTAATTTAATATTCTAATAAATGAGCTTGAAATGTTTTTTTAGAGTTTATATTAATGTTATCATATTTACTTGTACCCATTCAACCTTAACCTAAGGATACTACTTGATGAAATGAAGTTGTCAGAACCTAATCCAGTGAATGTTCAGAGGAATAATGGTTGAAAATAATGAACCAATAGTGCAAATTTCCTACCAGGAATTTGTAAAATCCAAGGACTACAATTTTTAGGACCACAAAAAAATGCTGGGATCAATTATATATCACACGCGACTATTTTGAATCAATTTTATATGATCATGAAGACTAAGATTTCATTTGAAATGTCTATCTTACTGCTTTCTAAACAAAGCCCTACATGTGGTTCTAATTGGATACCCATGCTTTACTCGGACGGGCTTCGCCCACCCACACCCACCCGTGGTGACTTTCGGGATGTCGTACCCACCTAACCCACTCACTTTCCATGCTTTTTGAACGCAGTCTGTCACAGACTGGTGACCTTGAGGCTTGTTGTCATTTGCTCTGATTGCAAACTTTCAAGCCACATATCAGAATTTATCGTAGTCATAGTATGATTAAATAATGCACACTACGTAGTGAGGATTGCAATAATATAAGATATACGGTGATTAATAATGTTAATCGATTTATCCCCCGATATTGAGTACCCATCCAAAAGATCATGGGCGTGCCCATACCCACCCATAGGTATGGGTGGGTACATGGGTGGATGTGGGTATGGATACCCAATGCAGGGCTCTATTTCTAAAACAGTTTTTTAGCACAAAAATTTTTAGTTTATTTTTTTTTTTTACTAAAAAATTGCTTTAGAAAATATATAATAAGAAAAATATCACAAATAAAGCCTAAATTAAAGCATCATGATATGCTCAAACTAAATAGGCCACATACAAATAATTTGCATATATATATATACATACTCTTTTAATTGATGAACATAAATTCAAAGAAAACAAATCCATAGCAGGCGAGCACCAATTGACAAGCAGTGTCTCTTCGAGCAGAGAAATTATTACGTGTGGAGTCCAGACTAGAGAACCGTCCGGTTTTTGTGAGTGTACGCAATAAAAGCATAGTTACAATTCACCACTGTAATTTTATTACGCACACTCATAAAAATCAAACGCAGCTTCGATCTAAACTCCGTACGTAATAATCTCTCATTAGCTCAAGTCTTGAAAGAACGAGAGCAAATGGGTGAATAAAGTTAAGACTATCTTCAACTGCATTGGTTGCTAAATAAACATGAACTGCAGAGTAACACAAAGTAGTGAATTGCAGGTGGACCAAATGTTCCAAAGGTAATAAGCTTCTATTTTGATTTTGGAAGAAATAGAAAATACAGGACAGCCGAGGAAGAGCCTTGTCTTTCAAATTGACAGAATACTCATTCATGATGTTATCCGAAAAATCACTGTGCATTTAAGCAAGTTCATGTTTGGCAACAAAAATGTTTAACATTACAACTCAATAAGAGCTACAATCAATTGTATGTACAAACCACAAGAAATACTCTGCTACACAATCTTAATATAATGAATTTACAACCTTTTGTTCTAAAGACAGTAAGCAGCTGCATCTTCCATAATTTTCTAAGGAATGTAGTGAGGGAAATCCATCTGAGGGGCTATCCCCAAGCAAGAAATGTCCTTACTCCAGGAGTGCAAGTCCTTGAGAAGCCGAAGCCGAAGACATATAACTGATAAATTAAATCCATCTGATACACTACTAGTACTTCGGCAGGTTTCTTTTTGTTCCGCTCAAAATTAACCAAACAATCAAATTTAGTAAATACATGCAATTGTTTTACTTTACACTCCTAATGCAGGCAACCAAACAACCCCTTATGATCTTAAGCTTCGTTTTGGACGGCTTTTTTATTGCTTCTTAAAGCAGCTTCCTAGTACAAAAATTAGAAAGCAGAAAAAAAGTTGTCCTAAACGAAGCCTTAGTTTGCCAATATGACATCAGATTTTGGAGGTAGATAGTGCCGCCAAATATCGCTAAAGCCGGATGGCTCTCTCTGACTCTTCTGGTTTGAGCAACCCATTGTGGGTGGTACATCATAATGGAGAACCTTGGCCTCCGAGCTTGCAGTCCTGGAATCAACAAGCTTCCAAGCATCAGGAAGCTTGTAGTACTTGTTGTAGAGTGCAACGGCAATCACTGCGTTTACCGGATTGTTCCTGTCATAAAAGCCAGTAAAACCATCTAAATTTTTTTACTGATAAGAACATAACAGATGGAGAAAATCAAACCTTTCATGTTTCAAATCAAGAACTTGATTCCACCATCGAATGGACTCTAGAAAATTCTTATCCAAGTTCGCCACATTAACCAGAAACAAACTCAGGTCTGGTACACAAGAATCTTTGTCATATAATTTCTCTGATATCCAAGTTTTAGCGGCTGTTCTCCGAATGGCATTTAAGATGTCTATATTAACATAATCACTCAATCTTCTACTGCAGTCCTCAGTGGCTGCAATGGCATAAGGGCCTAAATCAAAATCAAAGAGCTCCTCAATCCTACCCTGCGGTTGGAACAACAAAAACAAATCATTCATATGGTTTAGATTTTACAACCTTTTCAGGTCATTCAGACTGCACTACCGACAAGGAATGTCTTAGCTCTCAACTAGACAGATTTATGGATGCCACTTAGTGCCTACCTAAATGGTTACTTATCTAGATATGTGGCAGTTAGGTACTTGAAGGGTGATGTCTAGTAGCTACAAGCCATATTTTAATACAAAAATATTCACATTGAAATAAAAAACATGTGTTGATTTCAAGAGAATTTATTAGGTGCGGACACCGGACGGACAGAACCGTCCGGTTTTCTCTGTCTACAGTCAAAGCGCACTTCTACAGCAGCTGCGCTTTAACTGTGCTTTCACTGTAGACAGAGAGAAAACCGGACGGTTCTCTCAATCCGGTGTCCGCACCTAATAATTTGCCTGATTTCAAACGGGATAATGTCAGGTCGAATTTTGTTTTCAACCTCTTTGATCAAAACATGGGTAAAATGTCAAAATGGGGCGTTGCTCAAAACAACAGGGATAATTTTGTCAATTTTTTCCTCAAAAGAGCAGGACGCAGCTGACACGGGAGCTGAAGCCAAGTCGTGAAGTTGTTTTGGGACAAAAATTCCTGTAATACCCCAAATAATACTATGGTTATGTTCCATAAAGCAAAGCAGCAAAAAAAGAGACCCAAACAGAACGTTAATTTCATGTTTTAGCTTGACTTTGAGCATGGCTAAGTTGGACTAGATCGCTTCAATTCTGCTCACTACCAACCTTATGGATGGAATCCAACTGGCCAAGTTGGGATAAGGCTATGATGGTAATTCCAATTTATTCAGGTTGGCTAACTCTCTTCTTACATAAATGTTTGTCTTTATTCAAAGGAACCATGAGTTCATTGAACAGGAGTGCGGAATTTCTGCATCCATCTAAGCTATATTGGATAAGTAAAAATTGTCAGAAGTCATAATAGAAAACACAATTTGTTATCATGGAATAAGTAGGTAAAAAATATCCTTGCCCTCTACTAGCTTAATAACATCAAAAAAATTTGTTAGTTCCACTTAAGAAACCATGCTACTTTTTCGTACAATCACTAATTGACAATTTATGGCATGGGTGGTGAGAAATCCAAGATAAGTTTTGGGCACAAAAGGCATATTAGGAAGCTCTAGATTTAAATCTTATTTGTATATGTTTAAAGTATGAAGATGAATATAAGGCATCAAGAAGTATTCTAGAGAAGAAGCTTATGAGCAAGAAGTTGCTAACGCTAGCAACAAGAACCAATAGCATATAAAAAACACTAGCGGATGAGAGAGCATGACCAGAAGAACCTCCAAGAATTAAATAGCTCCAACAAGAGAAATGGAGAAACAATGAGCAATGACAATGATTCCAAGAAGCAATGAAAATAGAACATTCGTGCCTCGTTATTATAGCAAATACTAAACCAAACTATGAAAATTTGAACCAGGATTTCACATGATCTGAATCCAAGCGTAAAACTCTACAATGCAATGCGGCGAAGTGGCACAGCCACTTCACTTCACTCCTATAGTGGATTTGAAGTGCTCAATCCAAGCGTAAAACTCTACAATGCAATGCGGCGAAGTGGCACAACACATCACTTCACTCTTATAGTGGCTTTGAAGTGTGCAATCCAAGCGTAATACTCTACAATGCAATGCGTCGAAATGGCACAACACTTCACTCTATAGCGCCTTTGAAGTGCGCTTTCAATAAAATTTATATTGCCTTGTATTATATGTTTCGAATGAATGAGAAAGAATACATTCTAGCATATTTTTCTCCAAATGGTACTAGAGTCCTAGTTTTCTTCCCAACTTATTTATTGCAACATGATCTTCATAACCTGATGCATTTTCGACCTTCATGGTAATTGTCCTATGCATCTCAACCCTCATTGTCTGATGTGAAGTCATAGCAATCTCGTTGCTTATCTGTTGACCTCCCTGCTAGAGCCAAAAGAAAGAAACAAAATTATAAAAAAATATACCTAAATCATTACCTGTAGGAGGCTTTGCCACAAATACTATACAAATCTTGTGACAGTTGCCCCATACCTCTGCAAACGGCGCCGAAGATGTCCATTCGCGTGTGCTTGGATACGATCCTCCCCTCCTTGCGTCGTTAAAACGAGAGCGAGACTTCTCTCGTTCGTTTTTTTCCCACTGCTCTACCACACACGCCCGAAGTCTCACGCGAGCTGCTTCTCCCCATTTCCTCTGTCGTCAAACCCAACTCCACCCTTGCACCCACCGAACTCAACAGCCCTCTCCACCTTCCAATCTTTGCCCAATCGGCAGAGAGAGAGAGAGAGAGAGAGAGAGAGAGAGAGAGAGAGAGAGAGAGAAGGAGCATTCCCCTTTACCTAGCCGAAGTCCTCACCCGGCGATCTTCTCCCTTGTCTGACTCCAGCAACCGCGAACAAGCCCCGATCATGAGCTTCCTTCGCTTCCTTCCAATCCCTACAAGCCTGACGTCTCTCCCAGCCTCTCCATCCGACCTCCTAAGCATCCCGACCCCTTCGGGCCACCTTAACTCGAACTCCAAACCTGCCCTAGTCGCCCAATTTCGCTCATTTGACAACGTTCCCATTCTTGTCGTGTCGAAAGTTCCGACATTTTGATCGCAAGCAACAAGGGGAGCTCATTGTGAAGGTAACTTTCTCCCCTCCATGCGCTTATTCGGCCAAGTCCTGTAAATCTGCTGAGTTGTAAGAGAAGGGAAGCAGAATGTTTAACTAGCCGTGAGATTTAACTACTTCCTATATCCTGTTTGATAGAATTTTGCTCAAAATACTGCTTAACTTCTGCATAATCCGTATTTAATGGGACTTAGCATAAATCCTAATGCAAATCCTGCATGAGTCTGGTACTCAAACGATTTCTATTAGCAAGATTTAGTATAAATCTTGCTCAGATTATGTATAGAGCCCGTTAACAGGATTTAGCACGAACCATGTTTAAATACTATGTAAATCTAGCTCAAATCCGCATAAATCCTGTACCAGAACGGCCTCTTTTAATTAATTGCAATTAGCCACGATTAATTGAAATTAATTGGCATTAATTATAGTTGATTCTAATTAATCATTATTAATTACAAATTAATTATTATCAATTATAATTAGTTCGGATTAATTTGATTAATTGTAATTAACTATTATTAATCATAATTCATTTTGATTAATTAGTATTGATTATAATTAATAGCTATCCCAACAATTTAGGAACAACTTTATAGATCATTAGTCTCCATTCCTTTTTGTTGAGTTTTACATGAAATGTTACCATTACTTTGTGTTCATCTTTTTGCACAACTTCTAATAATATCACCTTTGGTATAAAGTATAAACCTTTTTTTCTTCCTACTCTTCCTATATCAATTTTATCTATACAGCTTATTAATCATCTTCTTCCCTCCACCGTACACTTCTAAACAGCTTAAGTCTATTTTTTACAACCATACCTTCAACAAGTACTAATAATAATCTTTTTTATCAATCTCTACTAGTTTTGTCACATTCACTTCAACTTTTTCATTCACATCATTCAACTTAGTTATCAATGATCTTTTTATGGCCCAACACTAGATTCATATGGCATAGCCAGTTAACAATGTAATTTTATAAATTCACTTACTAAGGCTTATGATATTGTTCCGTCACATAGTACTCTTGATGTGTTTCCCCATTCTAACCAATCAATTTAAATACTATTAGTTATATCCTCATAAATATAATATACAACCTATCACTCCAAAGGCATCAATTGATCTTGAACCTATCACTTGATCTTCTCCACTCCAACTCATCAATTATATATCAAATAATTATAAACTCAGCAATATTATTCTTATCAATGGTAGATTTAATGCAAATAAATTTATCAATCCTAGGTATCACTTATTTTAATATGATATTCTTTTATCACATTATTATTGAGGCACTTTGCCATTCTAATCACTCAACCTTAACTCTATTAGTTATATTATCATCGATATCAGATCTAATATATTTAAACCTATCACTTCTAACTATCACTTACTCTTCAAGCAATATTGATTAAAAAATATCAATTTCGCACCCAATATTGTACGTCATATACACAATTTTTATTCTGCTAATCTAATAAAAAAAAATTCTGCTAATCTAATCTATATTATCTTAAATTTTCTCTATTGTTGTGATAAATAATATGTGCTAAGCTACCTCACTTCTTTTTTGTAAGATAAATCACGAGCATTAATGCCCAAGAGCCCAACTTTTCCAACATCAAACCGACACTATCAAGGACAAACCTAGAACAGATGCTCCTGCCGTTGCTACATTTACAAAGCTTTACAGCATGTTAATAAAGAGGACATTTTTTTAATTCAAATCCATGCATTCTGCATAAGGAGGAGGCAATTTAACCGTGGATCTGATGGCCACCCTCTGCTAAATATTAAGGGAGGCGATAATTTGATTATCATGGCAAAATACTTCTTTTCAAGAAAATTTAGAAAAAAGATAAATAAAGAGGGCAAATGATTAAGAAGGGATAATCAGACTAAAAGGACAAGGAACAAAGAAAGAACTACCTTCATAATGGTTCCCGGTGATACAAAAGCAAATTTTGTCAAAGAAGTTTTGGTGCTTGGGATGATGAAAGAGGCTAGCTCATTAATTGAGAGCCTAAGAAATTCCCATTCTGGTGCAGCAGTTCTAAGTTTAGATTTGACTTCATTTTGCCTAGATATTTAAAAAAGGCATTACCAGCAATAGCAGCACCAAGCATAGGAAACCATAAGAGATGGTACAAAATAAAAGCATTAGCATTAAGAAAACCATAAAAGAAACAAGTTCTTAAGAGGGCACTTCTTACCCAAAGAGATCCAGGTTTGAATCAGGAAACAATACTTTCAGCTTGTAGTAGGACAATTTCACATCTTCACTTTCAGGCACAAAGAAACTAAAATAAACATGCTCTGACAATCTAAGAGGCAAAGGTAAACATCAGAACATCAATGTTTTCCAATTCAGCAACTAAAACCTTAATGCTAATGAGATAATAACAAAATTAAACTGTCCAAACAGATTTTATTATCCATGACAACGGCACAGAAAATATGATTATACAGTAAAGGATCACCTATGTATGTGAGCATTTGTGGTCACGGTTATAAAAGATATGTCCAATCTGTTAATGAGCTACTTCACTTTCCAATAATCTGACCTATCATAATATTGAATATGTACCAGCATAACTTCAAAACCATGGGAAACACTTGCGGAGCAGTTGTACAAATCAATAAGTAGTATTAATTTCATTTAATAGTAAACAACATAGTACAAAAGAAGCTCGAAACTATCAAACCAAACCTCAATCGTTCAAGATTCTTGTGAAGTTGCTAATTGCAATTGAAGCTCCCAAAAATCCATTTTTCTTGAACTAAGGCTTCGTTTGGTTATTATGTACCTTTCCTAAAAGGTAGTTTTAAAATTGTTGTTTGAGAGAACGGAGTTTTCTAAAGGAGAAATTAATATCATAAAGCTTTTGAAAACAGTACAAAAATATAATTCTCAAAAAAGCATTTCTGCAAAAGTGGCACATAGAAACAACAGGCAAAAAAAATTTCTGTCGTTTTGAAACTGAAAATGCAAAATTAAGCCGTCTCAAACGAGGCCTAAATGTGTCATTTTTCCCCTGGAAATTTTTTTTTTTTTTTGGTGGGGGGGGGGCGGAGGATTTCATTTTCAACTATTTCTAGAGGTCAAATGGCACTTTAAATTATGCAAAAGGTTTGAGAAATAACAACTTGGTAAAATATTTAATTGGTTATTCAGGTTTCATACTTCACATGCCTTTAAATACACACCCTGAAGAACCTGTTCAATAAGCTTATCCAACACAGATTCTAAACTTAAGTAACCATTGCGTTCACTATCCAACCTGCAACAGGTTCGCAAGATTTGTTTTTAACAAATTATAACTAGTTGAATGTTATAATTTGGATATCATGCCCAGCAAAGTTTATCTAAGGGTAAGTAAGAAATTGCACCTTTGAAACATTCATGGCCAAATGAAAATAAGAATATTGACTAGCGATGAATCAATAACATGTTAAGTTGTTATGCAAACCTTGAGCTAGATAGGGTCGAATTAGCTAGTACAGCAAGCATTCTAAGATCCAAACAATCCATCCAACTAACCACATTAATCCTTCCAATTTCCACATCATGATTTTCGGCATTACTAAGTCGCTCCATGAGAGGATCTTTAGATTTGGTCAACTGCAATAACAAATTTAAAATGTTTGAGAAGGAAATGCAGGGTTGAATAAATTGATATAAAGTACCCTGATTTAAAATAAAATAAAAACATGGTTAACATGATTGTAAGTATCTACTTTATAAAGCATTAAGCTTTGTTGCTATCTCAAAACTAAAAACAATCCAAACAAGTGGATCATACAACAACAGAACAAAAAACTTTTCTCCCACTACGTGAGGTTGGGTACATAATCTTTTTTCTCCATTGTGTCTTGTTAAGAGAAGTGGAATCATAATGAAAAAAATTAAAATGTGTAAAATGGTGTATCTAGTGCAAAAAGCTCATGCCACTTCAGCGTCTGAGTAGGGGTTGATGCAAGGAATCTTACCCATCTTCAACTTTTATAGAGAGATTGTTTCCATGATCATAATGAAAAAAATATAATGATATGAAACCTTTAGAAGAGTATATAATGAAAATGGAAGAGAAAGCATATTTCTCATTTGATAATGATTTGATAATAAAAGAACCATAGGAGAGGAAAAAAATTTCTACTGCCTCCTTCATCTTATTTCTAGCAAACAATTCATCCTCGTGCACTATGGAGATACCACTTGTCAGTAATATCTCTTAGGCCTTTGATGGAGGACATATTAGGTTCAATCTTATTTCATTAATTTAGGAAAATTTAAAATTTAGTATTAATATAATTTATAGTTTATCTCAACTTCTATGTAATAAGTTAAGGGATCCCCCTCGATACAGGGATACCTTTGACCTAAGGTTTTCAATTATTGGCAAATTATTGAATATGAGATTTCTCCTAACCCTAGTAGTCTAACCCTAGTAGTCAGCTATCCCTCTTCTCACTTTATCTTCTAGTTTTTCCTCTTCACTCTTTCTCCTTAGGTTCCTCTTGCAGGACTCTTTCTTTTCCTCTCCTCAGTGTTTAGTCATATAAAGTGGTTATATTTTCCTCTCAGCCTGCTACTCAATGATTTTCCTACTTGAAGCCATCCAACACTCACTCCACTGAAATCTGATGTCACAAAGCTAAACAATCCAAACTGCATCTCCCCTTGCATAGATCAGCCTGATGTATTCAGCAATTAGTATTTTGTTCTATTTCAACTTCAGTTAAGTTTAACTAAGGCATTTCCTTACCTTAAAATATTTCATGCTTCCTTCCACTGGCATCTAATAGCAAAGCCTAAAACCTAAAAAACCGTAGATTATATCACTTTCTCAGACACTATACTCCATTGGGAGAAGTAAATCTACATCAAAACCTCATCTCAACCCTAATTTACATAGGCTTTCATGTCTGGCATGAACCAAGATGTGATTTATAATATCAAACCAAGAAAATAAGGAAAAACAAGAGCTTCCTTTTAGCATTTAAATAACATAATATGTTTCATACGAGAATTTTACAGCTAATTAATCCGAGATATTAAATTCAAAAGGTCATATACATACTAAGATTTTAAGCAAGACCTGTAATAAAACCTACTGTCAAGAAAACCAAGTAAAACAAGAGACTCTTTTTAACCAAGGTTATTTTTTGGTTTTTGTATAAGTTAGGTAAAATAACAAAAGTTCTAGTTTCAATGTTTTTGCTACTTTTGAAATTCAATTTGCTTTTGATTTGAATTACTTTTTATTAATAATTTTTTTTTTTAAATTAAGCTATGAAATAAAGATGCTTATCTAATAAAGGCTTAAGTTACAGTATGCACGCAATGGAATTCTAGTATGACTTTGATCTGTTAAGAGCTTCTTCCAACTTAGGTTAAAAAAATTATGATTTTATTTCGAAGCTCTTGAATTTCAGTCAAAACTTTATAAAACAGTCCCAAACCAATAATAATAATAATAATAATCAATTGGAACACATCTGAAACCACCAAAATTGTAAAAATGATTTTAACCAGCAAATATAATGCATGCCTGTTACGGGCTGACTGGTCCTAGATATTAAGTTTGAGGCCTAGCTAATAAGTTCAAACTTCCATAAAATTACATACGATATACCCTAAGAAAGGAATTCACCGTAGAAGTATTCGTCTTGGAAGAGAAGGGCATCCAGCTGCGGCTAGGATCTGCCGGGTGACGGAAGTGAGTGGCCGGAAGGAGCTGTAGGGCGGCGAAAGCGAGCACAAATGCAAAAGAGAGGGCTTGTAGGACCGGTTGGGATCGCGGAGGCTGGTCGATGTCCAACCTGAGAGGCCCGCCTGCGACTGAAGAAGGCGGGGGGGTTCGAAAGGACGAGCTCGCCGGCCTCTTCCATAGGCCGGATCCTGCGGCGGAAGACATGTTCACCTTTTGACCGTTTTGGCAGTTCAACGAAAACGTTTAGTGAGATTTTACCGTTCTTTTTAAACCGTAAGAATTTTAAGGGGCATCTGCTAGTAGAATACGGGGAGGATTTAACTCGAAATATTTAAGGGCTGTTTGGTAGAACCAATATTTAATTTAAATGGGATTTCGTAAATATTCTAAATTTGGATTGAGAAAATTTAAATTTTTGGGGGTTAAATTTTGAAAATTGTTTAATAACATTCGTGATAAATTCTGTTAAATTTCGTGTGATTGTTTGATTATTCTGAAGAGGCGGGGATGAGGAGATGAGGCGAACAGTGCGGCTGTCTTTTAAATCCGCCAAACGAGAGGATTCGAAAATTCAGGATTTACCACGAAAAGGCGGAATTTTCTGTCAACCGCGGCTTTCATATACCAAATAGCCCCTTAGGCTTCCATTCAAAATTTCAGATTTCATACCGCATTATTAATTTTCTAAAGTGTTTTTTTAGTAAAAAATTTTGTGTTGAAAAATTATTTTAAAAAGCAATAAAAAAATATTCCAAATAAAAATATAAAATTTTATTCTTAAAAAAATATAAAACAAGGAGTTAATAATGCTTATATTCAAATCATTAAAGATATGTATGCAGGAGCTATTACTTGTGTTCAAACACAAGGTGGATTGACCAAGTATTTCCCTATTTCGTTTGGGTTACATCAAGGATCAGCCTTAAGCCCATATCTTTTTGCTTTAGTCTTGGATGTTCTCACTAGACATTTGCAAGAGGATGTACCTTGGTGTATGTTTTTTGCTGATGATATTCTTCTTGTTGATAAGACTAGAGAGGGAGTTGAAGGTAAACTTGAATTATGGAGGTCAACTTTAGAGTCTAAAGGTTTTCGCTTGAGTAGATCTAAAACGGAATATATGGAGTGCAATTTTAGTAGTAATAGACCTAGTGAGGGGATTGTGACTTTGGGCGATCAAGTCATTAATAAGAGTACACGTTTTAGATATCTTGGATCTATTGTTCAGAGTGATGGTGAAATAGATAAGTTGGATGGTTGAAGTGGAGGAATGCATCGGGCTTGTTATGTGATAGAAATGTACCCCTCAAACTTAAGGGAAAATTCTATAAGATGGTAGTGAGGCCTGCAATGCTTTATGGTGCCGAATGTTGGCCTTTAAAAGAGAAGCATAATACTAAGTTAAGTGTGGCAGAGATGAGGATGCTCACGTGGATGAGTGGCTTTACCCTTAGAGATAGGATACGAAATGAGCATATACGTGAAAAGGTTGGAGTAGCTCCAGTAGAAGATAAGATTAGAGAAAGTCGCCTTAGATGGTTTGGTCACATAAAACGGCGGCCTTGCGATGACCCGGTTAGGAGAGTAGAGGTATTAGATTTGACTTATGTTAAGAAAGGTAGGGGTAGACCTAAAAAGACTTGGTTAAAAAATATTAGGAATGACCTTTCTTTATTAGATTTAAATGAGAATTTGACTTTTAATAGGACACAATGGAGAAAAAGGATTCATGTAGCCGACCCCACGTAGTGGGATAAAGGCTTGATGTTGTTGTTGTAGTAAATATTTTTTTTTAATTAAGCTATGAAATAAAGATGCTTATCTAATAAAGGCTTAAGTTATAGTATGCACGCGATGGAATTCTAGTATGACTTTGATCTGCTAAGATCTTCTTCCAACTTAGGTTAAAAAATTATGATTTTATTTCGAAGCTCTTGAATTTCAGGCAAAACTTTATAAAACAGTCCCAAACCAAAAAATAATAATAATAATCAATTGGAACACATGTGAAACCACCAAAATTGAAAAAAATGATTTTAACCAGCAAATATAATGCATGCCTGTTACAGGCAGACTGGTCCTAGATATAAAGTTTGAGGCCTAGCTAATAAATTCAAACATCCATAAAATTACATACGATATACCCTAAGAAAGGAAATCACCGTAGCAGTATTAGGCTTGGAAGCGAAGGGCATCCAGCTGCGGCTGGGATCTGCGGGGTGACGGAAGTGAGTGGCCGGAAGGAGCTGTAGGGCGGCGAAACCGAGGACAAACGCAAAAGAGAGGGCTTGTAGGACCGGACGGGATCGCGGAGGCTGGTCGATGTCCAACCTGAGAGGCCCGCCTGCGCCTGAAGAAGGCGGGGCGTTCGGAAGGACGATGCTCGCCCGCCTCTTCCATAGGCAGATCCTGCGGCGGTCATAAGGACAGTTTACCTTTTGACTGCCAAAAAACGAAAGCATTAGTGAGATTTTTTTTTTTTTTTAATTTTGGGGCCAAAAGTCCATATATTTCTATGAAAAATAAACATTACAATTAAAATCGAGAAAACAACCCATCACAAGCTAAAAACAAAAATTAGCTTATAAGGAAAAGTAAAAAACAAAAATTATACCACCCAATACATCCAAAAAATCAATGTAAAAAATCAAAATGTCGTAGTAGGATCATATCTTGAAGGACTCATGCTGTAGTTCGAGCAGTATACCGACTGGAATAAAGCTTCAACGATGTTATGATAGCCCCCTGATTGCCCCGCAGACCCTCCAAGGGGAGCGTGGAGCTGCAATAATCATCATCGTCCTCAAAAAACCCCAAGGCGACAGGTACAACACTCCTGGTTGCCCTGAACGCCATCCAGGTAAATGGGTAGATCTAGCAGGAAGAGAAAAAGCCTGCTCAAAGCTCTCGTGAATACATAATGCAATACAGCTCCCATCCATGTAACCAACAACAGAGATAATTCCAGCCAGAGAAAAACTCGGTGAAACTAATACAACTAACAAAGGATCCAGAGACAGCAACATCAATATAAGAGAGAACCCAACCTAGGGATCTTGAAGCACAACAACAGCTTCACCTCCAACTAAAGTAGTTCCAACATAAAATACCCATTTTTTCATTTTAAAACCTTGGAAAAAACTGCACTTTTTATTTTTTGACTAATGGGAATGGAAGATGTAAAGACATTGCCAAACTTCTTATCATTACTTTCCCTCCAAAGATGATAAATTGCACAACAAATAATGAGATTATAAAAAGGCTTGAATTTGACATGAACATTACTAGAGCATTCAAAAGCTTGTAGAATATTTGGTCAAAGTAGTTGATTAGCCATATTAGGAATAAGGTTTGTAATTACCAGAAAAGAGTAATCACATTAAAAAAAAAGGTGAGAGATGTTTTCATTGGCTTTATGACAGAGGGAGCAGCAAGAATCTACGTTAAATCCCTTAGAATTAAGAACATCCGCAGTTTTAAGCCAGCCCAAGTGGCCATCCAACCGAAGGATGAGTATCTCAAAGAGTGATGCTTGTGCCATACTAAATGTTGTGAGTTATTCAAAGATTCATTCCTGAAAAGGAAATTATGATGAGAGATATATTTATTATCCTTCCCTTCTCCCCACGTCAGGCAGCTTGTAGTATTAGCTTCTACATAAATGTTGGAAAATAGATGCAGAAGAGAGGCAGAGAACTATGAAGGCAGATTCCATCCATACTCATTTAAAATAACAGGAATCCTAGCATTGTCAGGGAAGTGATTCAGGATAGCTTGCATACCAGGAACTTCATGAAGCTGAGATCCTTTAAACCAATGGTCCCAGTAAAGAGAGACGGGAACCTTGCTTGAAATGATAAAATTGAAATTATTCTTTGCATCATTGGCAACCGTACAAACATTTTTTCAAAAAGTGGAAGACTTCACATTGGGGGGTTTCCAGGGAGATACATATTTATGAAAAACCCACGTAGAGAGGGAGTTGCTGTAATTATGTAATCTCTTTATAAGAGAGCATTGAAAACTGAATTGCACGGAATGGAGAGAAGGGAGTCCAAAGCGCCCCCCCCCACCCACCCCCGTAATAAGCTTTAGGTTTACTTGTATTTCTTTCCAGGAAATGAGTGGCATTACGTGCCACAGTATCTCCAAAGTACAGAAACTTATCACAAAGTTTCTCAATTTGCATTTTAGTGAGATTTTACTGTAAGAAATTTGAGGGGACATTTGCTAGTAGAATTCGGGGGAGGATTTTAACTAGAAAATTTTAGGGTCTATTTAGTAGAATCAAGATTTAATTTAAATAGGATTTCGTAAATATTCTAAATTCGGATTTAAAAAATTAAAAATTTTGGAAGGATAAATCTTGAAAATTGTTTAATAATATTCAAGATAAATCATGTTAAATCCCGTGTAACTGTTTGGCTATTCTGAAGAGGCGGGGAAGAGGATATGAGGCGAACAACGTGCCTTTCTTTTAAATCCGCCGAACGAGAGGGTTTCGAAAATCTGGGATTTACCATGAAAAGGCGAAATTTTTCGTCAACCGCGACTTTCATTTATCGTGAGATTTGATTTTGCATTTTAGGTCGTTTGGCTGGATATCGCTTTATTACTTTTCTTAAAGTATTTTTTCAGTACAAAAACTTTGTACTAAAAAATTATTTTAAAAAGCAATAAAAATTTATTTCAAATAAAAATATAAAATCTTAGGCTTAAAAAAATATAAAACATTCCAATATTTGGGACTCTCAAGGGACTGCTCTGCTCTGTTTGACTGTAGTATGTGAGCATAATTTATGTCACATCTAACTTAAATTTTTCCTTAAAAAGATGACTTTAAATTCTACATAATTTTACGCAGCTCATCTTGATTTGTTGGTTGGATGTTTTGACTATTAACTAAGAGATCTTGAATTTGAAACTTATATATGTGATGTTTTATCTTAATTGACTTAAATGTCCCAAAATAACTCTATACAATTTTAACTCCAATTTCTTCTTCATTTATGCCTAAAATTTAGATTTAGTAAATACATGCCTTATAGTTATTCAAATCCGCAAGCCTCTCACAAACTATTCTCCCTAACACTGCTCTACTAGTCAGTCTTCTCAAGTTTGCTTCTATGTTGACTTCCTTGCTTCTTTGTGGTCAGAGTTTCAAGAATTTAGAGATGTGAATCTTAGGGAGAAAAGCGAGTGTTTCATATTCATTTGATAATTTTAATTATAAATATAATTAATTTTAAATAAATAAATATTAATTATATAATTAAAATAATTATTATTAGTGAACAAAAATAATATTAATTTAATTAGCTTGATATCTTTTATTATTTAATTCAATTAAATAGATATTGTTATATTTGAGCATCTTTATAAATTAGTTTTTTATTAGTTAAGATATTAATTATAAGTTTGCATAATTAAAACTGAAAAAAAAAAACATTATTAATAAGAAAGAGGATTTTTAATAGGCACAACAAAGAGATAGGGGATAGCAACGAGCTTTACGACTAAATTAATTTAGGCCCCTTCTAATTTGACTTAATAAAAAGTGGTGTTTGGTTAATAATATTAGTAAATTATAAAATGATGATTAATTAAGATGTTATTTTTCTTACCATTCATGCAACCTATCAAGCGCCTCCTCAAGGGGAATTTTTATTAGGTCCGGACACCTGACATAGCTCTACATCCGGACGCCAATAACATGTCACCACGTGTTCTTACTCTTTACCGTGCGGCCCGACGACCCGACCAGGACCCGAATCATGTATTGTTATGTTCGTGTATTGCTAGGTATTGCTCGGTATTGCTAGGTATTGCTTGGCAATAATGAGAAATACCGCTCTATCAAGACTAATACCGGGCAATAACTAGCAATACCGAGCAATACCTAGCAAAATCAGAGTATTGCTCAGTATTGCTAGTTATTGATCTTGACACAATGATATTTCTCATTACCGAGCAATACCGAGCAAAACATAACAATACTCTGGTCTGCACAAATCAGCTAATACATAGCAATACCGGGTTACGGTCTTGGTCTGGTCGCCGGGCCGCACGATAAAGAGTAAGAGCACGTGGCGACATTTTATTGGCATCCGGATGTAGAGCTACGTCAGGTATCCGGACATAATAAAAATTCCCTCAAGGGGGACTAGTTGTTAAAGGATGCTCGCCCTCACCCAAGGCAGAGTACCATCAATCATGCTCGTCGCTTCAACTATAACAAAGCATGTACTCAACTGGCTCACAACTAATCGTGCCGCCCACCCACTCGCCTTCCACTCCCAAGCGAACTAGAGTCTAAGCACAAGTCACCAGCTATTTTAAGGTGCTAACCAATAATAAATCTCACCACTTGGAACTCATTAGTATGAGAGATTATTCTGTGCGGACACCGGACACAACTTACCGTCCAGAAACGAATCAGGTACAGCAACGTCACCTAGTACCGAGCTCAATACCGAGCAGTACCGAGCCGCGGCACCGAGTATGAAGTGATGTGGCACATTTTCATTAGGCACTTGACGGCGTTCAGCATCCGCACAGAATAATTCATCCATTAGTATACCCACTTATACATACTCTCTCATACACTGAGCAATACTAAACTCATCTCATGAGCAAATAATCAAAACCAAGGAAAGCTATCTCCCCTCAAACCAGCCAAAGTTTAACAGGCGTCCAAGACAATATGTACTAAAATTCATCAAGCAATGTATTTTTATTCATTTTCACTTGATGTATCATTTCCCGTGATTTTCATGCCCCTATAAATAAAATTTGAAGTGAAACATTTTGAATATTTTGACTTCTTCAACACCTCGCCTTCATGAGCATTTAGACCAGCATTAGAGTCATTGAATTATTTGCCACAGCTTTCCCTGCCCATCCTCACAAATTTTTACAGATACTTATTGAAAAGAAAAACAATGTAAGCTCAAATATTATTATATAAATTATATTATGGTGATTTTAAATTATTAAATTTATTTTAAAATTAATATTACTATAAATCTAAAAAAATAAATTTAATAAAATATTTTCTTAAGTCTATCCTGATTTAATTTATATCAAAATATCCAGCATATTTTTTCTTATGAGAATCTTGATCAACAAATAAAATCTACAAAAATCAATCAATTTAATCGATGATTTTTTTAATTTCTGCACGTTAAATACATTTAAGAGCTCATTTGCTTGCTTTGGCTTAAGAAATAAGATTCGAAAAAAAATAATAATTTTCTTATTTAAATCCTAAAGGAAGTTTTCTCCATAGATTTATGTTTCATTTGGAACGGCTTTTTTAGTGCTACTCAAAACAGCTTTGGGTTACAAAATAATTTTTTTGTGCTTAAAAACTGCTTTAAGCAGTAAGAACGTTCCCAAACGAAGCCATAGGCTTGGTTTGGAACTGTTTTCTCACCGATTTCTAAAGCACGTTTAAATGCAATTTTTTTTTAATCTAATAGTATTATAGAAAACAATAAAAAAAGCTGTTTCAACACCTCACTGAAGCGAACTTTTATTTGGTCCGGTGAACGTACGTAGAGCTACGTCCGGTCGGCACTAAGATTGCATGCACAAAATGAGAAATACCGAGCAATACCAATAATAACGAGAAAATATCATTAGGTGAAGACAAAATACCGAGTTATAACGAGCAATACCGAGCTATACCAAAAAATACCGAGAAAAACTGGGTATTTTTTTTGTATAACTCGGTACTGCTCGGTATAACTCGGTATTGGTCTTCCCGGAGTAGTATTCCTCCATATTATCAAACAATACCTATCAATACCGATCAAATACCAAGCAAAAATTGAGTAATAAGCCTCTGACCGGACGTAGATCTACGTCCTCTCTACGTCCGATCAGAGGACGTAATAATTGTTCCACTGAAGCAGACTAGTAGCACAGAGTCTTGAGCGTCTTCGAGCCCTCCAATCCAACAACATTTCAGTAATGAACTTGAACATCAGACCTATTATTTCTTGATTATGAAGACAAGAACTGGTCCAGTTGATCTGTTTGCAGTTTCAAATTTGAAGCAATTCCAGCCTTCAACAGCTAGGCTGGATGCAAATGAAAGGACGGCTTCAAGCTCTTCCCTGCCGGTAATAAGAAAATAGAAGTATTTAAATCATTCCATTATTAAGAAGAGTTTATTTATGTATTAGCAGGTAGGCTCACAAGGGTGGAATAGAGTAGATTAGAGAAGCAATGGCGGTGTTCACTAAGGCTTCCTTTGTGACAACTTTCCCAAACTTTCTTACAGCTTTAAGAAGCAGTAAGAAAGCCGTTCCAAATGAATCCTAAGATTCAACTAAGGGTTCGTTTGGGACGGCTTTTTTATTGCTCCGTTTTAGTACAAATTTTTTTATTTTTTAACTAAAACTCCATTTTAGAAAGCAATAAAAAAGCCGTCTCAAATGAAGCCTAAGTGTTCTGATAAAGCTTTGATGAAAAGGATAAGAAGGATGGGTACTTATTACTAAGAGAAGGGAAATCTGGTTTTAAGAACTTTTCATGCTCTTAATTGTAAATCAGGTTAACAATTTTTTCAAGAGAAGATATAATAAGGACATACCTTCCACCAGGATGACCAATATAAATCACAATGCTGATAAGTCCACCAGAAGCTATTATCCTACTTGCAGCTTGCAATGCAAATAATGTCGTATGTGGTTTTGTAATAATGGCCTTATCACCCGCTGGAAGATATCCCAAGTTGAAAGCTATGAGCCTGAAGAAGAAAGGGAAAAGATTAGGCAAGAATGTCGTAAAATTGATTCTGGAGTTAAATTTCTGCTCAAATTTTCAGCTGTAGATTTCGCTGATAACAATCCAACTGTTTTCCCTAGTCTTGAGGCAACTTTAGCGGATCAAAAAGCAAAGCAAATAAAACTCCTTAAGGTAAGTTTATGTTAGGCTGGCCCAGGCGGCCAGAGGGGCCGGCAGAACCGGTCCAACCTGGACCGGTTCACTGCTACAGTAGGGGGCAGAACCAAGGGACGTGGGGCGGATGCTCTAGTAGGCCGACTTGCTGAATGAATCACTGTTTACGAGGAAAATTTTGAATTAAGCGTTGTTTAGTCTTTTTGTAAGTCCTTTGGATTTAATTAGTCTTTTTGATTAGGGTTTACTTTTCATCTTGAATTTGGAAGAGATTTGAGATCTAGGGTTTGTTCTTTTGGGCTCTAGGTTTGGCTAGAGATTTAGAAAGTTGTTTCTTCCTCTCGAATCGAAAAAACTTGTATCTTGTATTGTTATTCTTGTTCGTGAATTGAATAGAAGAAGTTTTCATCATGTTTTCTTGTCAATCTTCTAAATTCCTGCATCGTTTTGCTGATTTCTCACTGAATCAGCCTACTTCTCGTTGTTTTCACCAATTATTGATAGATTTGCTTGCGAACTCAAGTATTTTCCCTTTGGGTTACTTGCGAACTCAAGTACTTCCTATCAGTTTAATAATGTGGAGAACAATGATGATGGTGAAAAAAAAAACACTACTCAACAGACACGGTGCCTGACCTGACAGCGGCATCTTTTGGTAAAATATCCTCCATCCTGCTGTGACATAGTAAGTGCAGCTTAACCAATTCCCTCTAAAACAAACAAAATTACATTAGTAACATTGGACAAGTGAAACTAGTAAAAGCTGATAACATTAACAGATTTAAAGATGAGTTCATTGATTGAAGAACATCTACAATGCACACAAACCGAACCAAAGCAGATTGACAGAAGATGGTAAAACAATCATATAAGATTATTAGCTTTGGAAAAATTGCATTAGTAGCTTTGGGCAAGCGAGATTAGTAAAAACTGATGATAGTAACAGATTAAAGTAAGATTCTATGTTCACTGATTTTAGAACATCCAGAATGCACTCAAACTGAGCCAAAGCAGATTAATAGAATGTCGTGAAACATTCATATCTAAGTGAGATAATTTGCAGCTAATAATAAAAAGTTCTTGGATATCTAGGCACCTGTTTCTCAGCAACAGATTCTCTCAACAAATAACAAGTATTCTCTAATGCAGAACTCTGAATATCCAAACCATGAACACAACCCCTCCTTGAATCATCAGCTACCAGTTTGAGCAATGCAATAGTATCATAGCCATTGCCACAAGTGGCATCAACAACTGTATCTCCTCCTCGAATGACAATCTTCCAGATTCTGAAACCACATCAATGACAAGAACAAAAGTAAACACTTTAGATAGCATTCCATAACACTTGAAGACTTCTACATCTGCAAAATTTAAACAAATCAATATTGAAAAGAGGACCGATGAATGCCTCTCTGCAATTGAAAGGTAAGGCAACATACATAAAGTGAATATGTTGAACAAAAAGAAACTAATACAGGAGAAAATGGCCATTCAAAACTTGATGCTATAACCTAAAACTCAAATCCCTGTTTTAATTTAACCCGAGGCCAGAACAACTGAACTTTATCATGCAGTAGGTGATTCATATTCTTAAGCGCCTCAACTTTCACCCATTTCTTTTCCTTTTAGTTTTCCAGTCATATTACACAATTGCAGCGATTAGACTCATTAATCGTATTTAAGATTGTGAGCAATGCCATAAAGTTTATATGATAATGCCAAAGAAACTAAGAGGGAAGTTTCTTTGTAAACAAGAGGGCAATTTGAACTTTCAGGATTCCACTATTTTAAGAAAGCAAACGGATAAATCAAAATATTCCATTTTGTATACTGTTAGGTAAACGTTGGCGGCATGTTTTAAAAAAAAAACTTTTTCTAGATTTTGATGTGAAACAAACAACAGAATTGCATTAGAGATTATAAAGAAATTGATTTAAGCTTTGCAATATAAACTAATGTTTCACAAGATTAGATGCTTAGACTTAAGGCCATCAATAATGTAAAGAAAATCAATTACAAAATAGAATAACAATCACTTGAGAATGATCTCAATCAAAAAGATAAACTTAAATATTGTAACAACAGATCCCGCACTTAACAGATAGAAAAGTCACCTTGAGTTTCCCTCACTCAAGCTCGTCTAATAAGGGTTAACGGGAAAGATTCTTAGCAAACCAAGCGTGCCACCAACTTTGAGAAGACACCTATGGTATTAGCCCAACGAAAGTTCGTCAAAGAGGGAGAAGATGTGGGTGGGTACCAATGGTTCCGCCGACTTCCGGATGGTAGATGCTCTTCTACGGAGTGATTGATGTAATCTTCTACGGAGTTATCCACTTATGGATTGAGGTTGAAGAAGGTGGATTGATGAATATCCATTAAACTTTGATTGTCATAGAGGAATCCACAATCCCGATCCGGATTGGCCATGCACTAGTCAAGGGTTTGTCGACGAAGGGAGGACTTCCTCTTTCTTGGAGTGTAGTTCATGAGGCAAGAAGGTTTCCAAGAGGTGTGAACGAAGAAGGGGCGACTAAGGGAAGAGGTGCTTGCTTTTGGTGGAATTAGGGTTTGGGTTTGGAGAGGGAAAGTAATATAAAATCTGAAATTAGTTTCAGATTTTAGTAAAATAGGAAATGGATTTAAGAATTTGAAATTTGAAAATCAAATTCAAGTGGAGGGAGATTAATTAGGAGGGAGGAGGGAGATCCCATGAAGGGGCCGGCGGCATGCATGGGGTTGGGAGGGATTTGTGGGAGTTAATGAGGATTCCTAATTCATGAAACAAAATTAGGAAGGAAATAATGAGGTTCAAATTAAATTAGATTCAATTTGAAAACTTTTCTAATTTAAAATGGTTAATTTAGAAAAGTATTCAAATTTTGAATTTCGAATAGAATGAAATCTTTCCCAAGTTATGTAGGCTAAATTAGGAATGTCTTAATGAAGATTGAACTCAACATTAAGAGGGGGAGGGTGATGTGGCCGACGGTGGGCTTGGGAAGGAAGGGGGCTTGGCCGGTGGGGGAGACAGGGAAGGGAGGCCGACGGTCTAATGGGAGGTGGGGAGAGTGACCGGTGGAGTAGGGCTATTTGGCGGCTGTGGAAAAGGGAGGGAGAAGGGCCTCTGACAGGTGAGGAGGATTAGGGAGGCCAGCGGTGAAGTGGAGGAGGAGTCGGACCACGAGCTCCGGACACTTCTGGTGACTGGTGGGTATTGTTTTGCCCACACCTTGGGACTTCACTACTCAATAACTCACAAGCTCTACAGAGAAAACATAAATTTTATTTCATTCATCATTACCTCTCATACAAGATGAGGACCTTATATATAGGCCTCCAAAACAATTAGAAAAGAAAGACAAGAATGTCCTTGGGGCTACAACTCAAACACAAATAGATAAATGGTACAATCGTCACAACTAATAAAATAAACACTAATACAAAATATAAATCAAAGATGAAGACTTCTGATCGAGGTCGTTGCTCTGCGCTGCTTCCGATGATAGACATTCCAGAATCTCCTGTTGATGTCCTCATCAGATTTCTTAATCAAAAGAAGTTTTTCATTAGTATGTTGATTCTTTATTATGAAAAAAAAAAGTTTCAAATTTAGGCACTTGCAAATACTAGAGAGCAGTAAGTTTTTCCAATTAACCAAGGAAAAAAAATCAAGCATCCCATATCCTCTTAGGTGGGTACAGGGGCGCAAAAAAGTTGAATTGAGCTTGAACAATAACAAACTTGAGCTCGGCTCGAACTCAAGCTCAAACTCGACTCACATAATTTACAATCGGCTCGAGCTTGGCTTGAATTTAAACTCATTTAAAAGCTATATTTCAGTATAAATAAGAATTCAAGACATAATTGAAGTTCTTTACAACATCATAGTATAGCAGTTCATTAGAGCGGTTTAAAATTTATAAACATTGAGACCTGATTTATTTTTTGGTTTAATACCACAAAAAAGAAATCATCATTTAAACATTCAAATAAGCTGACAGAACTCCACAAAAAAATATCCAAATAACCTTCACTCAAAACACAAGAAACCACAAAAAAACGTCCTTAAATTGTTATATAATATAAAATCCCCTAAATGTGGTAGCACTACACTTTATCCCTAACAATAATGTGCCTAGCAATTTCATAATGGCTACTTATCTGATGGAAATAGAATAGAAAATTCATGTTAAATTGTCGAGATTCACCTGAGTTTAGGAAACAATGAAGAAAAAAGTAGTTCCATATAAATGACTTCTATGTTTGCACATTATTTCAAGAAAACTAAATCTTTTGCTATATGAGAGGGCTATTATTTAGAAGGATGATTCTATGTAGATGGGCTATTCATTTGAAAACGACCACTTATCGTATATGATTTCAAATATAGTTGTTTTGAACACATATATACAAAGAAAAATGATAAATAGCTGTCTAAAAGAGTCATATCACTTAAGAAAATAATGTACAAATAATCCATAAAGAGTCCTATATTATACAATTTCAACCTCATGTCCCTGAAATTGTTTGATCAATTTTTCATAAAAAGAAAAAAAAAGGAATAAAGGGCGTTTGTTGTATAATGGATAGAACAGATGTCTTCTACACCTCAAATTGAAAAAGAAAGAAAAAATATAATAGATAATAAAGATAAGGGGGTAGAGAGAAATCTAGCTAGGTAATAATAGTCGTAAAGTCAAGGATATTTCCTTAGGTAAGGGAAGAAGAATCACTGACAGCCCAACTGATTACCTCTCACATCTTCATCTTTGGTACGAATCAATTACCTAGTACCGAGGATTGTCCTAGAGTCTGTAAGCCAAGGCAAGTCCGAAAAGAAAAGGACTACTAAGACGCCCCCGTGGATGAGGGGATGACAAGATAAAGAAAAGAAAATAAAAAAAATAACCACGAACCCGGCCGTCTCCAAGGTTGGTGGGTGATGCGCTAATCTCCCTCTCCAAGGGATCTCTCCAAAGCTCTCCAAGAACTCTCAAAGGCTCTCAAACACAAGTGCAGGAAAATTCTTAATAATCATTCATTCATCAACCTTGATAGAATAAAAATGGGGCTTTAAATAGCCTCCTACAACATGACTCGAAACAAAAGACACAAACGCCCTTTGGGCTTACATACGATAACTCCTATGAGAGGGGTACTACGGGAAATAAAACACATAAGCAACTAAATAAAAATACAACGACTCTAAATGCCACATAAGCAAATAACAAGCTACATGAAAATAAAATACATCAACGACTCAAAAATATAAAGACTCGATCGTGGCTGTAGATCGTCGGCCGCGTCTCTGATAAACTCTCCAAGATGATCTGATGTCCCCATCATATTGCAATATAGGTTTCTAAACAATGAAAATGACTGAAACGAAGAAATAAATATGTTTAGGTCTCACAATGCTCTAAAAACCAAGTTCATCCATAAAATGATTGGTTTGGGGATCATAAAGTATTGAACTTACGAATAAGAATAGAAAGATGCAATTTTGATGGTTTGTTCAAGATGGGATTTCATGCAAAGTCGTATTCTATTTTTTTATCCAAAAAGGATAGTGGTGAAATATGCCTATTGATTGAAGATTAATATTCATATGATTATGTCTAAATATCCACCACTCTTCATTCTTAAACTCGTTCACGTAGAATGATGCAAATAAGATTATTGCAGCTAAGAATGCCGCTCATTAATTTAATTTCTTCATTAGTAAGAAAGAAGCAAGGCACTAAGTATTACAAATAAAAAGTTACATTGTAAAGGAAAAAAAATGTTGCAAAAATTTCTCCGATTGAAACAAGAATGAAATATATATTATTTATGTCGCAAGTAAAAATAAATTAATAACGAGAAAAGATGGCAAACCCTTGCCCAGCCTTTACAACCAAAAATCTAAAGCATTTAATCAAGTTTGAGCTAAAAGAAAAGGCCTACCTTTTTTTTTCAATTAAGAAAAGGCCTACCTAATTTGACCAATAGGCTTTTCCATAGGGTGGAACTATTCTCAAAAGTTTCATCTGAGCATCCCTTTAATTACTATACCTTGAAGTAAGAAAGAGGGGTAAGTAACAAGAATGGCATAATAAAACTACCATGCGATTCATACAACGATTACACACCTTAAACCTTAATATTAAAAAAGAAGGCAATAATTTGATTTTAAAATAATCTAAGAGACTAGCCTTTTTTTCATAAAGAAAAAGGACTACTACCCAAACTGAAGCCAGTATGGAAGTGCATATCTCTTATTCTAATGCTTAATCCCTTCTTT